TCCACACAGCTTCCAGAGTAATTCTCCACACAGCTTCCAGAGTAATCCTTTTAAAGCAAATCTGATTACTCCTTGGCTCTCAACCCTACCACTGTATTCTATCATGTCCCAATAAAATCCAAGTCCAACCAAATCCAAAGTCAGATGATACAGGATCAGGCTTCTGACTGTTTCACACCTTATTTCTCTAATTTGGTGTGCTCCAGCCATATGGTCTCCTTGCTGCTTCTCCAACATGCCAACCAAGCCCCTATCTTAGGGCCACTGACAATGGCCATTTCTCTTCCCCTAGAATAGATTCCCTCTAGAAATCCACATAGCTGCCTCCCTCATTTAATGATTAGATTTCTACCTATGTGCTCTTCCCTTAGGAGGCCTTCTTTGTCTATCCTATCTAAAAGAGCATTCCCCATATCCTTCCTGGCCCTTTATCCTGATTTTCCCCCCCATAAAATTTGACACATCACTGGACATTATCTTTATTTAGCAATATATTCTGTTACTAGAAGCCCAGTGCATGAATTCGTGCAACAGTGGGATCCCTCAGCCTGGCCTGTGGGATTGGGCCAAAACCAGCTCTCCGACATCCCCCAAGGGGTCCCAGATTGTGAGAGGGCGCAGGCCAGGCTGAGGGACCCCACTAGTGCATGATCGGCCGGGGAGAAAAGTGGGAAGTTGACCAGCTGGGGAGGGATCACGTGAGGGCTCCAGGGTGTGTCCAGCTCATCTTGCTCAGGATGATCAGCCAGACCCCAGCAGCAAACTAACCTATTGGTTGGAGCATCCGCCCCCTGGTGGTCAGTGCACGTCATACCAAGTGGTTGAGCAGCCTTAGCATATTATTAGCATATTACGCTTTGATTGGTTGAATGGCTGACCAGACACTTAGCATATTAGGCTTTTATTATATCGGATTGCTTATTGTCATCCTCCCCCACTATTATAAGAGGCAGACTTTATTTTGTTCACTGCTGAATTCCTAGCACCCAGAACAATGTCTGCTCATTAAATATTTGTTGAGTGAATAAATAGGTTTTCAGGATACAACAAATGCAAAACGACTCTATATTTATTGATGCACAGGAAAATGTCTGCAAAGTATATAGCAAGATGTTAACTAACATTCGAGAGCTGCTTTTCACAATCTTTTTGCTGATTTTTTTTTTTTACAATGAACTTGTCTCTTACATACTAAAAAATGAATTAAAAAAAGCCTCATAGGCCGTGTAAATGAATTCTAAAAGAGGTTAGGCAAATTTACGAAAGACAAACTTCTAAACAGATGTACCAGCCTAATGGTTAAGGTAGACCACAGTTTGAATCTCCTTGGCCAACACTTTGTAGCAGTGTGATCCCAAGTTATTTATAAACCAGAGTCTAAATGTCTTCACCTGGAATCACAACGTCGTGTTGGAAGATTAAATGGGACCATGCACGTAACCTCCTCTGTCCAATGCCTGGCATGCAACACATACTCGACATAGGGTAGCTATGATAAGAATTAGCAATAACAAGAGTTAGGACATACCTAGCCCTCAAGATTGACATCAGAGTGGACCACCACATCCTCTCATCACTGCGCCTCAATCTGGGCCTCTGAAGCCCCAAGACGGGCTGGTTCTCTCCAGAGGAGATAACGTCGGCCGTCCAGAAGCATCGGAATACAACGTGCCCCGCACACCCTTAAACCATTCAGTCTGGAAAATCCATGAGCAGCACTCCAGCACCCGGATTCCAGAGGCGGCCACCGAGTCCCTTAGCCTCAATTTCCTTCGCTGCTGCAACAGGGTGTGAGAATGTTAAAAAACACAACAGCAGGGCAGGACC